GGGGTCAGGCGGGCCGGGGAGGGGTCCGGGTGGGCTGGCATAAACGGGCCGTTTCGGGTAGGTGTGGCGTGGGTGGTCCGGTAGGTGTGGTGGGTGGGCCGAGGGGGCGGGGAGTGGCGAACTAGGCTGTGTGGTAATTACAGACCCGGGACCAAGTTTAACATCCTGAATTGAGGTCAGGCGGCGGGTAGGGGGTGGGGGAGGTTTGGAGGGGAGGTTGTGTGGGTCGGGGTCAGGGGAGGGGGAGAGAGGGGTGGGGAAGGGAAGGGGAGGGGAAAGAGGAGGTACAGAGGGGGGGGGGGGAGGAGGAGAGAAAGGGGGAGGGATGGGGGGGGAAATGGAAAGTAAGTAGGGGGGAAAGGGCAACAAAGGAAGAAGGGGTATGGGGAAATAGGAAAAGACGGTAAAATGGGGAAGGGAAAAAGGAAGGTGGGAGAGGAGAGTAGGGAGAGAGGTGTGGGAAGGAGTGGGAAGGATGGATGGTGGAAGAGAGAGGGAAGGAGGGGGGTGAGTGAGTGTGGGTTAGAAGGTGGAGGGGAGGGAGGGTGGGGTTATGACAAGCCGGGGGTCTCCTATGATTGGTGAGTGGATGGGCGCTCCGGGGGGTATGGGGCATCGGCAGGTGTGGTCGCCCGGCAATTCAGGAGATAGAGACAGGGGGAAGGAGGAAAACGACGACAGAGAAAATAGAGAGAAATAGACAGAAGAGAGAGAGGCGAGAATAGAGAGAAAGAGATAGAGACACACAGAAGAAACAGAGGCAGACAAGAAACATATCGCCGCGGTCGCCCGGACGGCCACTCGCTCGTGTTCTCCCATTCATCCCATTCGCATGTCCGGAGGGCACGGAGCGAGCCTTACAAGGGAGCTGGTAGATATGTTTTGACTCGTGGCTCCTCTTCGGCCCCTCCCCCGGGTCGCAGGTCACTGGCCGCCCTCGCCCCGTGGAGGAACACAGGGGGACGCGGAGCTCAGGTGTGGTAGTTGTGTTTGTGCCTGTGTTTTTTTTTCTTTTTTTTTTTCATTATTATTCGTGTTTTTTGTTTTTGTGTGTGTGGGGGGATCTGTGGGGGAGTGTTCCCTGCCTGTCTGTGGGTGTGGGTGTGTATTTTGTGTCTGTGTTTGTGTGCATGTGTGTAATGATTTTATTTGCATATATATATATAATATATATATATATATATATATATATATATATATATATATATATATATATAATATATATATATATATAATATATTTGTAATAGTTTATGTATTTTTCTAAACTTTATACATGTGTGTGTACCGTATGAGTTGATAAATCCGGGAGTGAGTAGACGATTGAATGAGTGTGCGAGTGAATGACCGAGTGAGTGAGTGATGGATGGATGTGTCCAGATAGACGTGAGGTTGGATGACTCGGCTTAACCTGCGCGGTATGCTCTTGTGAAGTGAATTGCTGTTAAAAGTTGTAAGTCAATCTGATTTGTGCCGTGGGAGTCCTGCCGTTAGGGTGATTGAGGGGAATGTGGGGAGAGAGAGAGAGAGAGAGAGAGAAGAAGAGGAAGAGAGAGAGGAGAGAGAGAGAGAGAGAGAGAGAGAGAGAGAGAGAGAGAAGAGAGAGAGAGAGAGAAGGAGAGAGAGGGGGGGAGACAGACTTAGTCCAGTAGTCAGTCAAGTGTCAGTCAGTCAGAGCGCGTATGTATGGGAGAGTGTAAGGAAGCACGAGGATGGAAGAATCTTAACGTACATGTCCTATGTTTTGTCGGAATACTCACGGGACGGAGCGAAAGGAACGGCAGAGACAAGCAAGGGGCCCGTTGTGGTGGAGTGGGGGTGGAGGGGGGAGGGGAGGCTAGGGGCGCTTGGTCTTTGTAAATAAGGATGACGGTAATAAGTGCTACAGTATTGATCCCTTCTCCCTCCCCCTCTCTGCCCCTCTCCCCTGCCATCAACTGGCCTGCGTGTACTACCAGTTTGCTAAGGGAACAGTTGTGATGGACAGGTGGTGCCCCTCCCATCCGTCCCCTCCTCCCCCACCGTCTCTCCCCTTCCTCCCCTCTTTACCCCATTCTCCTTTGTTGAGCCTTTTCCCCTCTCCTCCTCTTCCCCTCTTTCTTTCCCCCTCCTTTCTTCCCCCCTTTCGCCACCTCAGGATTAGCACGTGGAGGAATATTATCTCCTCGCTACCTATGTTTACCAATTTCCAACCTCTACCTTCCCTCTCCCTCCCTCCTTCCTATCTTCATTCTCTCCTCTTCCTCCCCTCCCTTCCTACTTCCCTCGTCTCTTTCTCTTTTCTCTGGCCCTTTCTCCCTTCCTTTCTTCACTTTTCCTTCCCCCCCTCCTCCTTTCTCCGGTTCTTCCTCCTTTTCCTTTTCTCCTCCCTTCCTACCTCTTCTTTCTCTCCTTCCCATCTTACCTCAGTCCGTCACTCCCCTCTTTGTCTCCCTTCCTCCCCCTGTTATTGACCTCTTGACAACATGTTATCTCTGCTTTTTCTCTTCTGATTCCTTTTCCACCCTCTACCTCTCCTTCTATTCCTTTTCTCCTCTCTCTCCTCTATATTTGATTGTTTTCGGCCTTAGAGACTGTCTATTTCTGCGCTCCTTGTCTTCCGTTTCCTTTTCTGTCTGTTCCCTCCTTCCGCCTCTCTCGTCTCTTCCCCGTATCCTTCCCCCCTTCCTTTACCTTCTCTTCATCCTTAGCTCCACCTCTTCCCTTCTCTTCATCTGTCTACTATTCCCTTTCTCCCTCTACCCAACGCTCCTCTCTCTTCCCCTTCCCTCCCCCTTTGGTCCTCTGCTCCATGTCCATTCTTCTCCCCCCCTCTGTTTTCTTCCCTTCCTCCCCCATCTCGTTCTTTTTAGTAACTCCCTTTTCCCTTTCCCTCTTTCTCCCCTCTTCCATCTAACCCTTCCTTCCCTTCCCCCAGTCCTTTCATCCTCCACCCGATCCCCTTCCATTCACCTGCATCACTTCCCTCCACCCCTACCTGTCCCTTTACCGATCCCCCTTCCTCCATCTCCACCCCTTCCCTTCCCTCCATCCGATCCCCTTCCATCCACTCCACCCCTTCCCTCCACCCATCCTTTCCCTCCACCCCATCCTTTCCCTCCACCTCCCCTTCCCTCCACCGATCCCCTCTCCACCTCCACCCTTCAATCCACCCCTTCCCTCGCCCTTCTGACCAATCTTCTCCAACCAGAACAAATCTGTCACGATCGACCTGGCAGGGAAAGTATCGACGTAGTGTAGAAAAAAAAAATGAGGCACTGATGTATATTTCTTGTATATTTTATCTCATTTTTTTATTTTCCGATCTTCTATCTTTTTTTTTTCCTTTTCCGCGACTTCTTATTCATGATGTGGAAATGTGTCTGCGGTTGGCGTTAGCGGGAGCGGACCGCGATCTCTTTTTTTTTTTCTTTTTTTTCTTACGATGTGGCAATTTGGGCGTGGACGTCGCCTTCGTCCCTTCTTCTTCTTCTTCTCCTCCTCCTCCTTCTTTCTTCTTCTTCTTCTTCTTCCTCCTCTACCCCCCCTCGTCTCCTCCTCCTCCTCCCCTCGTCTCCTCCCCTCCTCGTCTCGTCGTCGTCGTCGTCCTCCTCCTCCTCCTCCTCCTCCTCCTCCTCCTTCCTCCTCCGTCCTCTCCTCCCTCCTCCGTCGTCGTCGTCCCCTCCTCCTCCTCCTCTCTCCTCCTCCTCCTCCTCCTCCTCCTCCCCCTCCCTCCTCCTCCTCCCCCTCCTCCTCCTCCCCCCTCCTCCCCCTCCTCCTCCTCCCCCTCCTCCCCCTCCCCTCCCCTCCTCCCCCTCCTCCCCCTCCTCCTCCCCCTCCTCCTCCTCCTCCTCCTCCCCCCCCTCCTCCTCCTCAGCCCTGTGTAGCGGTGCGATAGAACCCGCTCATTTCACGCGATTGGTTCTCTCGGGTTCTCTGTCTCGGTCTGTATGTATGGTGTGTGTGTGTGTGTTTGTGTGCGTGTCTCTCTGGCTGTCTTTAGCTCTTTAAGTGTACCTTTCTCCTCTTTTTGGCTTTGTCTCTCCCCCTCTCTTTCTTTTCTCTCTCTTTTCTCTTCTGTTGTCTCCCTCTCCCCCTCCCTCTCCCTCTCCCTCTCCCTCTCCCTCTCCCTCCCCTCCCCCTCCCCCTCCCCTCCCCTCCCCTCTCCTCTCCCTCCCCCTCCCCCTCCCCCTCTCCCTCTCCCTCAGTATCGCACCCAGCGTCGCCAGTGAGATGGAAACGCCACCGCGGTGCACTGTCGCCGGGCTCATTATGCGTAACGTGGGAACGCTAATGATACATTGGCCGTTTTAAAGCATGGCTCGGCGCTGAACATGGTGCGTGTGCGTGTGTGTGTGTGTGTGAGTATATTCATATATATGCGTGAATTTGTGTGCGTATGTGTGTGTGTGAAGTGTGTCAGCATCCGAGTTCCTCCGCCCGCTGATAATTACCGTGGCAGAGCTAAAATAGGAAGACGTATGCGTTTAGAAAAGTAGGCGATCGCTGAGTCAAGGGAGCGTGTGCTTGGGGGACCGGTGAGCCTGGGTCCGTGGGCGGCGTCGCGCGGGCTTAGTGCTCCGCCGAAGCTGGTCGCATCGAGAAAGCTTCGCCTTTTTTTTGTGGGCGAGGAGACTGGGGGTGCACTTCGGTTTTGAATAATAAGGAGAAATAGGTTTTGAATAATGAGATGAAGTAGATTGAAGGGAGACAATTAGACGGATATTTTGGTTTCGTAACTTTTTTTGTGTGTATTTATGAAGAAGCAGAAGAAGAAGAAAAAGAAAAACTTTTTCGTTTGGGATTTTTGTGCAGCTCGGCTTGGGGGAAAAATCGAGAGAAAAAGAATAGCTGTTTTTGTTTCCGGATTTTTTTATGCATCGTGAATAAAAATAAAAGAAAAGAAAAAAGAAGAGACAACGACGTTCTCGAAGTATTTATGACTTTTTTCGTCTCTCGTAAGGTTCTTTTGTTATTGTGGTAATTAATTTTGTTTTTTTTTCCTCTCCTTCTGTGCATTAGATGAACGCAGTGGTTTGTGTTGCAAAGGAAATCACAATAAGGTGCAGTTGGTGAGATGAGGAAAAATTCAGGAAAATAGCTTTTGGTGTTTTTTTGAAATCGAGAAAACTGTGAGTGCCTTTTTTTTGAGTTCGAATAGAAGACTTGAGAGACGGTTTTCAGGAAGGTCGGCGGTATTGTGTTTTCCGGAGGAGGGAAGAAAGTGCTAAGTGAGTTCATCGTATTTTTTTCCTCATAAGGGAAAGACACCTGTGTTATCTTCCGTGAGAAAAGTAGTTGAGATCTTGGAGGCATTTTTATAAAGGCCATTTTGAGAGACTATGGAAGTGTGTTGATCGAAAAGGAGAAATTATTTTATACGCAGAAAGAGAAAAGGTGATTGCAGTGTGAGAAGCAGAAGAGAGTAATAAAAAGAAGTGTGTAAAGAGTGTGAAGTGCAGAAGACGCCAGGTCTTGGCAGTGTCTCCGGCCGGCCAGCGGATACAATGACCAGGCCGTAGTGTTGCGTGAGCCGGTGTGCGCACGCGCGTGTTTGTGTGTGTACCTCAGTCCTTTTTCTGTCTTCTCCCCCACACTTGCCAATCATGTACGCCTACGCCGGGGCCTATTCGGGGGCTTACATGGGCGTGGGATCCGGGGTGGGCGGCCTCTCCGGGGGCAGCATGACCGCCCCCGCCGCCCATCACCAGGTGCTGGCCACACCAACGCCCCTTCCTGCTGCGGCGGCAGCCGCTGCAGCCGCCCATACCATGACGACCAGCCTCCCGCCCACGACGACCAAGAGGAGGTAAGTTGAGTAATGGAGTCACGCCCGCGGTTGTGGGTCAGGGCCCATTGTCTTGGGTGGGCGCTCGCCCTGTCGCAGATTCAAGCACTGGTTTTGCCTCTGTTTTTGGCGGGCCAAGTCGTGCGGACACGGCGTCGAGTCCGGCGCCGAGTCCGGCGCCGGGGAAGACGGGACGCAGATTGCTGCGCCTTCGCCGCCGGACCCGCCGGCCGAGGACGCGGGCGGCAGCAGGCGCCGGGGTGCCTTGGGCTTGCCTTTTCCTTTCATTTATTATGTTTCCTTCCCTACTCTGGTTGATTCAGTCATGCCGTGCCATTCCGTGCCAAAGGCTGGGAACACATGTGCGGAGACCCCTCGCCCCCCGGACTCGCGCGGACGCTGCACGCAAACTGCACGTCCGTCCAGGCACTCGGGGCAGGCACATGCGAACGCCTTGGAGTCCGGCCGTGCCAGCGCGCACGAGCGGCCAAACACGCAGACTTACTCACCCACATGCGGACAAAGGTAGACACTCAAACGCACACGCGCATGGACACATACATGTTCACACACGCACATACGCACACGCACACATAATATTCACACGCACAAACACACACGCACACGCACACACACACACGCACAAACACACACGCACACGCACACATACATATTCACACACGCACATACGCACAAACACACACGCTTGCATGCAAACTGGAGATCCTCGATGCCTTACGAGGAGAAGCGAAGCGAGCGCCTCTTGTTCTACGGATCGCGTCCCTCTCCCACAACGGAGAAATCGCAAAAACAAATAGCCGCGGACGTGCTGAGAACCGGCCGAATTTTCGCCGTGTGACAAGTAGTAAACCCGTGTTTTTTTTTCTCTCTCTTTTTCTTTCTTTTTTTTCCTGGCGTGGCTATTAGCGGAATGGTGATTTTTTTTCCCGCCTTTGAAAAGTATATTCGCAGAGTGTCATGTCGGATTTTTTTTTTTTTTTTTTTTTTTTTTTCTATTTCTTTTTTTTTTTTTTTTCTTTTTCTTTGGCTTACTTTCGAGCGGTCGTCCGGAATGTGTGTGACACGTCCTTGTCGTGTTGCAATGTTGAGGCGGGCGGTGGAGCGGCAACGGATCGCGTTTTGCAAATAATTAAAGCCATGTCGCGTAGGAAGGGCGCGGGTCTGGTAATGACAAGTAATCTCGCCCTCTTTCTGTGATAATGGGAATGGTAATGGTAATGGTAATAAGGATGACTATAATGATAATGGTTATGATGATAATGGTTATAATGATGACTATGATGATGATGATGGTGATGATTATAAGGATGATGATGTATAGTGAAATGAGTTATGATAAATATAGGAAATTGACATTGATATTGAAGGTAATGATATATAAAGATTATAGAGAGGTATGGGAAAATATGTTTGGAATAGTGATGATAATGGTTGTAAAATGAATAATGGCAATTGTATTAATGATACTAATAAAGATTGTAATGGTAATGATATTCGTAACCATAATGACCTTGATGATGATAGCAATGATGATAATGGTAGAGATCATTAACATCTAACTTATTCAGATAAAAAAAATCACACTTTAGCCAAGTTTAAGATGTGCGTTGCTATTTATAAGCGAATTACATTGCAATTTTTCTTCACGAGAACAATCCATGAAAACGAACAATAAAGAGTACAAGAAAAAGTCTTCAAGATCGCCGGCCGGGTCTTGAAGGAAGGGAATGTCCGGCGCCGGGATCTGGCAGCGGTGAAGCGGCCGTGTGTGTGTTTGTTTCGGTTTGTTGTTTGGGGCTTGCGTGGGCGTCTGGCGCGTTGTGTTCTGTTGGTGTCGGGTGGTCGTTATTCTTTTTCTCTTTCGTCTTGGTATTGGTGTTTTTTTGCAATGATTGTTTTTTTTTTTTTTTTGTTTATGATTTTTATTATTATCTTTATTATTCTTGTTGTTATTGTTGTTATTATGATTATTGTTATTGTTATTGTATAATCATTATTATTGTATTATCATTATTATTATTATTATTATTATTATTATTATTATTATATTATATTATTATATTATTATTATTATGATTTATTATTATTGAACGCTGGTCGATGCTGCATTTTTAATTTCTAAAAAAACAAAAACGAGAAACTGTAATTAAGTCAGAGATCAAGACAAATAACGTTCCCGTGATGTATATATTTTAACAATTATTATTCTTATTCGTCATGAGTATATCGGATTATACCATAGTATCCGGAAAAAAAAAGATAAGCGAATTACCTAATTTCAAAAAAAAAAAAAAAAAAAAAAAATCAATAAGAATAAGGTCAACCATTTTTTTATCGCCATGTCTTTGATGGTGAAAGTCGTGTCGTTGCATTGCAGTGTGAGAAGTACGTGTATTAGTGTCAGTTGCAAATGACACGTTGTGTATTGTTTATATTGGGGATGCAACCTTGGTGTGACGTTGGGGGCGGGGGGGGGGGGGGTTGTGAGTGTGAGTACGTTTTAATTCACTTTTTGTGTTGTAAGGGGGGGGGGTACGTGTAGATTTGTGTGTGTGTGTATTGTAATTGGGATTAGTTTCTTTTTTTTTGTGTGTGTTTGTGTGTGATGAGAAAGGCATAGTTTTTTTTTTTTATGTTTTATTGATTTTATTTATTTGTTTATTTATTTATTTTATTTATTTTTATTTAGATTGTAAACTCAGAAAGTAGGTCATGTTGAATATTGATTACAGACATTTATTCATGTGATGGATGATAAGGGTTAGTTGATAAAAAAAAAAAAAAAATTAGCGACGACAATTAATGTGCGAATTAGGTAAGCGCAAATTGCCCTTTTGGGCGAATTATTAAGTCTCACGCGCGCGCTACTGGTGTTACGTGTTCCAGCCGGACGGTCGGTCGGTCGGTGTTTGTCGGTTTGTCGGTTGGTTTGTTGGTTGTCGGTTGTTGGTTGGTCCGTCGGTTTCGGTTTGTTGGGTTGTTTTGTTGGTTTGGTCGGTTGTTGGTTGGCGGCTTTTTTTTGGTTGGTCGGTTGGTTGGTTTGTCGGTTGGTTTGTTGGTTGTTGATTGGTTGGTCGGTCGGTCGGTCGGTTGGTTTTTTGGTTGGTTGGTCGGTTTCGGTCGTGGTTTTTTGGTTGGTCAGTCGTCGGCCGGCCGGTCAGCGTGTGTCCGGTCCTCCCGACCACCCCTTGCACTTAACGAGACGAGGATTTATTAATCGCTAATCTGCAGCGGGCAGGAAACGAGGGGCTTCCGGCGGGAGGTTTTAATTGTCCGGAATCGGGGTTTCGAGGCGCTCGTTTCGCTGGCTTTGTAGTTTAGTGGCTTTTAGTTTATTTATTTTTTGTTTTATTTTTTGAAATAAAAATGGCATGGTTTCTCTTGTTATATTTTTTTTCTTTTTCCTTGTTCTCCTCTCTTCCTCTTTTTCTTCTTGTTCTTCTTCTTCTTGTTCTTCTTCTTCTTCTTGTTCTTCTTCTTCTTCTTCTTCTTCTTCTTCTTCTTCTTCTTCTTCTTCTTCTTCTTCTTCTTCTTCTCTTCTTCTCTTCTTCTTCTTCTTCTCTTCTTCTTCTTCTTCTTCTTCTTCTTCTTCTTCTTCTTCCTTCCTCTCCTCCTCCTCCTCCTCCTCCTCCTCCTCCTCCTCCTCCTCCTCCTCCTCCTCCCCCCCCTCTTCCTCCTTTTTTCCTTCTTCCTCTTCCTTCATGCACGAGAAGAGTAAAAGTTTATATCTTAAGAAACTTTCTCTCGTCGGCTCTGAGTGTCGCCGGATGCCTGGAGAAAGATTTAAAAAAAGACATAAAAACCTGACCACACTCCAGAAAATGTCACATGACTGTAAATAAAACCGACAGCCCCGCTCGCACACGCACACGCACACACGCAAACGCACGCACACTCGCACGCACTGCACGCACACTCGCACACACGGACGGACAACACCCTTCTCCTCCTCATACACACAGTCAGTCGCACAATCACAAGTCGCTCAATCATAGAATCACGAATCAAAAAGTGACAATTTACTCAATCATCACAAACATTCTCACAATCATTATATCACTCAATCACGCTATCACAAATCACCCAATCACACAATCACAGATCACGCTATGACACAATCACAGATCACACTCATTAATCACACAATCACTAATCATACAATCACAATCACTTAATCACACAATCACAAATCACAATCACTATCACACAAATCACAATCACATCACAAATCAACAATCACGCCTCACAGTTCACGCCATCACTCAATCCCAAGTCACGCCATCGCGCCATCATAAATCACGCAATCACAGGCGCGCGCCCCCCCCCCCCCCCCCCTGTCCAAACAACCAGCGGCGGTGATTGTATCGTTTGCCTCCGACATTTTTCATGCGCTGACCACTCGCCTTATTATCGGGGTGGGGGGTTGGGGTGGGGGTGTAGGGGGATTGATGGGCGGCTGCGCTCGGGCCTCGGAGCGGGGTTGTTTGTTTGGTTTTTGTTTGTGGTTGTTTTGTTTTTGTGTTGGGTGTCTTGTTTCCTTGTTTTCTTTTGTTGGTTTTTGTTTTTGTTTTTAAATTTTTCTTGATAATTATTATAATTATAATGATGATGATGATTACTACTATTATTGCTACTACTACTACCACCATTACTGTTATTTGCTATTGCTATTACAGTGACAATCATTACCATAATCGTTATCGATTATTATTATATTATTATATTATTATTATTATTATTATTATTATTATTATTATTATTATTATTATTATTATTATTATTATTATTATCAATAATTTTTTTTTTTATTTGTTTTTTATCAGTGATTATTGTTTCTCTTTGGTTACGGGGCGGGATGAGTTTATCTCTCTTCTCCGGAAAGGCACAGAGAGGAAAGTGATTTCAACGCTGGGTGCCTTGCAAGTTATCCTGGCGGGGGGGGGGGGGGGTAGGAGGGGAATAGGGACGGGAAGGGGGTTGAGGTCAGGAGGGGGGAATAG